ATATATATATATATATATCTTTAAATTACAGACACTGAATTTCTGAATATATGAATTTCTGAATGAATATATTTTACATCATGGGGAGGAAATATTTCATGTACAGTATGGTGAAAATGCTTCTTTTATTCTTCGCTGTTCTGTGCCACTGTGTCATCATTGTGCGTTTTCGCCTGTACGAAAAATAAAATGTATTAAAGAAAACCTGTCTGTAATATGTAACCACACATCAATTATATGTCTTAACAGATATAGCATAGTGTTATTTTATATGTTATACTGAATTTTCTACTTTCGCCATTCTCAGTATCCTTTTGACGTTATAAAATTTATGGCAATACAAAAATCATGAGTATATATGGGAGACCAGGAACCCAGCATGCTCTTTGTGTCTCCTAGAAGTTTACTTGGCATTGAAGACATTACCCAGAGGTGCTCACATGATCACAAAACACCACAAGACATTATAAGACACCTCACAATCCCGCAATTCCTCTCTGGTGACAAATCCAGCATTTACTATCTGCTCAGAATAAGAATACATAGAGAATATTTATTAAAACAATTGTGAAAACCATTTTAGTATGCAATCTGATCTGAGACATCTGATTGTCAGTGAACCAACATGGACTAAAGTGCTCTTTTGTGCTTTATAGTCAGGTCCACCTCAATAATGAGGCCTCAGACGGCATCATATTGGAGGCTGGCAGGTGTGTGTGCGTATGGCCAACCAGTGACATCAGTGCGCTGGTCCTATACCTTGTGATCTAATTATACAACCTCAATTTGATCTACTAACAGTTTTGTAATACAGCAGCCTACTTGATGGAATATAAATGACATGGATTGTTCGGGTCGACTTCCACTACATGGTTTTGGTAGATCTAAAGAAGATTAAGTATAAATTGTATAATCGTATTGTAGCTTATGTGGTGTGGTCAGCTTAAAGCGTACGTCCACTTTTGCAGAAAATTGGGATAACAGCTATTTTATGTCTTATATGTTCCCATTCACATAGCATGTCTTTTAAAAAAAAATACAAATTGCAGCTTACCTTTTTCTGAAGTTCTTTGTTGAAAACTCCAAGACTAAATAATCAAGCTTAATTATCCCTGGTTGTGAGGCAGCTGGGCAATTGTCTTTGCCATAATTAACCCTGTTTATACTGTGCTGGCAAATCTCCACTATCACTTGTAAACTGGTTGTGCAGGTTTAAAGATCTGGAGGCATTGTATGTTAATTCACTGTCCCTAAGCCTGCCCCCCTATGTGATCTTCATTGGAACCTTGCCTATAGAGTCCTGTGCATAGTCCTGCTCCAAAAAAGCAGCTAAAAAGGTAGGAAAAGTTTTTTACATTTTTTTTTTATGTATGCTGTGTGAATAGGAACACATGTCAACATATAGAGGGGGTTTTCTCAAATTTGAATGTAAAAGGGTTTTTAGAGTTAGAGATATTTAATTCTCACTTCTTTTCAGTGCCAAAAGCACCTTGCCAAGAACTAGTGTCCTGGAACCAAAAAGAATGTGCTTTTAATTAGGGATGCACCGATACCAAGTTCAGTACTCGGTACAAGTACAAGTACCGATACTTTTTGAGCTCCAAGACTAGACTAGAGAAAAATTCAAAAGTTAGGAGGCAGCTGTCATTTGTAAGGAGCATACGGAGCTCCTGGGATTAGTACATCTCTGTTTTAATGTTAACATTTTGTTTTTATAAACATAGATAAAGGGATGCACCGATACAAGTTTTGCAAGTACAAGTACTGATACTCGCCCAAGTACTTACAAGTACTGATACATTTTTTTTATTGTCATGTGACAGTTTTTCTAAAACAATACAGGCTAATGATTTCAGGACAGTGGTGGAGCGCCAGAGCCAGGTCCCAGCTGCAACCGCTGCAACCCTGGTAGTTCTCATGAAAATGCCAAGTATCGGCACTGGTACTCAAAGTATCGGTGCATCCCTGCTTTTAATTGTGACCCCACCAGTTGCACATACTGTGTACATAATTTGTCAAATGTCATTTGTGAATAAAGTTTAAAAAAAAAGTAAACCATGCAATGTTCCGGCATTGGTGCATCTGCACTGTTTCTCCCACCGTGCACCAGCACCGTGTGCATAGCGCGGCTTGCTGGAGTGAATCCACCCAATAAATTTAACCCTCTATTATGTAATTAGAATCTAATCAACACTTTTGTCCGCCCAAGCTGATATCTTTCTTTCTCTGCAAGAGACAAAAGGATACCCAGCACTCAATGCGAAGGGAAGTATTAATTAACATTTCCCTATGATTATGTGATTAGGAACCATACCAGTTGGTTCTTTAGCTTTTTTTCTTTGACCGAGGAAGCTGCAGCCTTGTTACTGAGCTCAGCACTTCACAGAGTGCCTAAAAAGCAGAAAAGTTTGGCACAGTTGCACATTTTTCCTCATTAAAAGTAATCAAAACTGGCTGTATGACTATCATTAAATTTTAGTGATTTTTTAACAGTATTTAAATATATTAGAAGTCCCTGTTTTTGAGATAATGGGTTAAAACCTCACTCCAGGGAAATAAAAGGTTTGCCTGTGGGGCTGCCCCAGCACTGCAAGGGCTAATTGCTCATTTATGATGAAAAAGCATTTTTGCTTACCTGATCCCAGCTCACCTAGCAGTTGGTGCTCTTCTCTACTCCCCCTCCACTCCGGCTGTGGACTGTCCCCCAGTGCCCTCATGTACAATGCAGGGCTATGGAGCTATGTGTCCTCACATACATTGCAGGGCTATGATGTCAGGGGTCCTTAGTGTGACGATAATGAGGTTTGAGCCTATTAATATTAAATATATAGCTTAAGCAAATGCAGTTTTTCATTGTAGGTTGAGCCTGACTCTTCTTCAGGTCTCTTCAAATTCCAAAAATCAGATCTGCTAATCTGTGCATGTAGTCTGAATAGTTCTAAAGTGAGGCACTGAAACTGATTGTTGTCTAGAGTTTCCCCTTTACCTGGTGGGGATCATTTAAAATATCTGTTAAAAAAAAGTCAAGGCAACTGGACTTGCTGTATTTTTCTTGAAAATGTTTCACTGGTCATCCAACCAGTCTCCATTCTGAATTGAGAAAGCTGGCTGGATTACCAGTGACACGTCTTTAAGAAAAATACAGCAAGTCCAGTTGCCTTGACTTATTTTTTATAGATATACCATGACCTGGATGAATGAGAACCTAAAATTACTTTTTTATGAGCGGTGTCATAAACCGCTAATGCATAGTAATGCTTTTGCCCAGCTAATCCCTTAATAAATTAGCAAGTGACAGCTTTAGATAAACACCAGAGGGCCTGGTAAGGATAATGACCCAGGTCACACTCCAGTCATAAAACTGAGTTTCAATATCAACTCAATTCCATAACCTGGAAGTGGACAGTGATATTGTAAAATTAAGTGCACCAATAGCTGTGTCTCGTCAAGACGAGAAAATAGGCAGATCACAATCCTCTGGGGTCCGACAGGCGACATTTACCTTCCTAGCCCCCCCATCATGCATATCTCTGGCAAGTTTGGTTTAATTCTAAAGCTAATTTCATGACACATCATAATTTAGAGGTTGTCAGACTGTATTGGAAATGAATAGTTGATTATCCTCTTAGTTATGAGTTTAACCGTTTGGGAAGAGCAGAAGAGGACATCCTAAAGGCTCATCCCTCCTGCTCCCCCTCCACAGCCCTGCCCCAGGGGTCTGCTCTGTGACAACCCCTAGAGGGCTGACAAAAGATGTTGCAACGCAGCTAGAGGAGGCTCTTGTTTGTAACATCGAGGAAAGGAACTCCTGCAACATCAAGAATTTCGTAACATCCCAGAGGAGTTCCCCTTAATATCTGGAAATCAACTGTGCAAGCCTTGCTTGAAGAAGAGCCCTTCAGACCCCTCCTTTGCTCATTGAACTCGGAACTCTGTCAGAACTCTTAAACCCAGGACTATTAAGTATTCTCTTTTTCTTCCCTTTTATTTTACTGTTATATATTTTGTCTCTCTTTATTAATATCTTTTTCAGTATATTTTCTGCACTGTTTCTTTTGTTAAAGGACGAACTTTAAAATTGTTAAGCGATCTCTATGCTCTAAAAAACAACCTAAATTATCCTTGCCTCTGTGAAGAGTGCTACTGTATAGTGAATCCTGTCATATTCCTCTCTGAGAGGACAGCGGTATCATAGGCTTGGTTTAAGTGTTTTGAATTGTCACAGCATTTGCTGGGATCGGTGCGTGCTTCTGTTAAAGTACAAGGTGGCAGCTATTATTTGGTGTGTAAACGGTTAACTGTGGAGATAACCAACCCTGGTGATGATCGCTCTCAGTCTGCTGGCCTGAGATTGTTGTCCCGCAAACTGGGAAATCTTTGTGCAGGGTAAGGCTGAGAGTGGTCTTGCCACATCCTTGTGACGGCTCGCTCGGTTCAGAACTGCGTATAGTCACGTGTGATTGACGTACAGCGGGTTTGGGCTGGGCGTAAATCACACTTAGACCATCAGAAGGGAGAAGAGGCTGCGGAGACAAGTCTAGCAGTCTGGAGGGAGCCGGTGGTAGCAGGGATCAAGTAAAACAGCTTTTACTTGCCCCCGAAGCATAAACAAGCAGTTAACCTTTGCAGTGAGGAGGCCGCCCAAGGGGATACTTCATTATCCTGGATTTGGCCATTAACTATATATTTTCTAACTTGCTTTTATCAGTAACCATTAAAAAGTTATTAGTCCCTGCACCAGGCAGCAGTTCAGTCAGTTTTTTTTAATGCTATCATACCTGTGTTGTTTTGGATTCTTGCAAAATCTGTCCACTTGATTCTTTAACATGAGTAGAAACATTGTCAAGGGTTTGTTCTTCATAAAAAAGCAAAGGTGAAGCACCAATCTGATGAAGAGAAAATACAGCATTAGGAAATGTGGTAATTGTATCACTATTGTTATTAGATGCTTTTTTTTTTAGACAATCCTCCTGAGTATGTTCTGGGTTTCATTTTCACCATGGATATCATCTGCACAGAGCTGGTATCTTCTTGTGTCATTGCATGAGTGTTTGAATGTGGTGGGGACAGCTGAGAGTCAGCTTCTTCAGAGCAATCACCAATGTGAATTGTTCAATGGTCTTTGAAATATTTGTGCAAAAAGCACATAGACGGTATATAAATGTAAATAAAATAAATAGCTAATATATGATAGCTGGAACATGTACATTAAGTGGAGACTTTTGTAAATAAGTAAAAATTAGGTGACATGTCCTGAGCGTGTGATGGAGCAAACACAAAACAGAGAACTAGAAGATTCTAGACTGTTTTTAAGAAGCTAAGAGGTTTCAAGCAGAAAGACGCAGCCATAAATGATACTGTATGTGAACCGAGGGGTAACCAGCAGGTCACAAGTTTCAGTAGTCCATTTTTTCCAGAGCGGGTTGTCTTTTTTAAAAAATTGATCATTGACCAGTTTAGATGCACTAATGGTTTCTTTGAGGTTTTTTGTTTCAATAATGCAAGAAATATTATTATGAAGCGAAACCCTTTTATAGAAAAAAGTCTTTATCTTCTACAAAATGGCACCCCCTAATGGCGTGTTACTGTCTGCTAAACAACCCATTATATTTTTAAAGGAAAACTCAATTTGTTATTATAAAAATAATATAACATACTGTATATAATAGGTACATAAGACCTTTGTAATTTAATGTTATTAAAAAATGGCTTTTAAGTTTTAAACTGCAGCTGCTGTAAAAACTTCTACAACAATACCTGTGTCTCCTTCTTTCAATATGGAAACCTGGAGGCATTAACCCAGAAATCTATGTTTCTGCTTCAAAGATTGGCTTACTGATTTACTCAGAACTCTATCATTGAAATCTAATTTAAATTGAAGGCATCCCCTGCAATAGGCATTCCATTTTGGTGAGATATTTTGCAAGGCTCACCCACTTCTAAAGGTATGTGGATGCTACAGCTTTTCTCATTACAATGCTCTGTAGTACCGAGAGCTCTGCTACAGAGTGAAGTTTTAGCCAACAGACTAGAGATCCATTCATACCAATCTGACAATGTAATACATGTGCCAGTGTGGCTTTACAATACAGAAAAGATCTCTCATAAAATGCCCTGTTAGTGTTTCTTTGAAAATCTGAAATGGGTGAGGCCCATTAAACCTTTATCACATCATTGGTCCATTACCTCACTGTAAAATCTGTCCCCTTCATTGCTGACAACAACCAGAGTGACTTGATTTCCACTTTGCTGAATGATGCTGACAATGTCTTCATGTTCCAGGTCCTCTGCGCTCTGACCATTTACTGCTAGCAGTCGGTCTCCCTCTCGCATTCCAGAAACCTCTGCTGGCAGTCCTGGATCCAGCTCACGTAAAAACTGCCCTGGTTGGGTATGACAGAATATAAGGATACGGTACATTAATTTGATAATATTTTACAAATGTCATCAGGCATTTCCACATACTGCATGAAGCTGGCCACAAACGTTCCATTATGTTTGTACTATCTTTTAGATTTATGAGCAACTGGGTTGTGTGAGGACCCACCAAAAATTATATCAGTTAGACAATTTTTTTTAAGTGTTCATCTGTTCTGGTACTGACTGTACAATGTGGGTTTCCAGACACTTTCTGTTCTGGTGGTTAAATAGAAGGGTGTCTCCATGGGTTTTGTCGCATCCCCCACACTTTTCAAGAGTAAAAACAAAAAATGGCTTTACTTGTATTTTAATTAGTAATCTAAAGTCATGCATCTTCTGCTGTTACAAAGTTACCTGGTTTAATTAATGTAGTGAGCAAACAGCTAAGTGCAAAGTACAATAACCACAATGAAACTGAACTTAAGTCAAAACAGTAAGGTCTCATTTAAACAATCACCAGACTGTGATCTTCTTACAGTACTAATTTTTTTAAGAAGCCAGCATAAGTAAATAACAAGCACAGAACTGAATTTGAACTACAAAGATGTATAATAATTAATTTACACACTATATTCATCATCTGTGTACACAGAACTTAAAAGAGCAGGGCTGTGTGAAGTGACAGAAATGAATGAAAAGAAACACAAATCCTTTGGCGGGTAAATAGTTCCATTATACATATATACATATATATATATATA